ATTTATAAAAATTTTTAAGTGCTTCCTTATGCCACACAAGGAGTCACTGGTATTTTTGCTGGTATTATGAGTGATTATATTATAAACCAATTAGGGTTCGTGTAGGAAGTGAAGCTCAAATAATAGGTGCAATTGGAACATCGATATTTCTTTTATGTGTAAGTTTTTCTTGTTAATAATTATTCCTATATTCATATATTTAAATTAATTTGTATTATTATTTTTTCATCAGACAGCTTATTTAGCACAAACTCCTATGCAAGGAATAATTTTAATATCAATTGGTACAGTATTGAACTTTTTTTTGCTTGTGGTGTACATGTATCTCAGGTACATGAATTAATTATTATTCTGATCACTTTCATAATCTTAAATTTTTAACTTGAAATTTATATTAATGTATGATAAATAGTTGGATATAGCTCCAAAATACGCTGGTGCAATTTATGGGTTAGGAAACACTTGTGCAGGAATTCCAGCTGTATTAGGTGTAGCATTTACGGGATGGATATTAGATATTACAAACAGAAATTGGAATATTGTTTGGATTTTAGTTACTGTATTTTATTCTATCGGTTCCATATTTTTTGTTAGTTGGGTTGGTCACGAAATTATAATTGATTAAGGGTTTGATTAGTTAATGGCAAAAATTGTATAGCAACTTATTTTTGTTAGTTGTATCATTTCTTCCTATATTGTTCATAGAATTGTTTCTATATTCAACTCAATTTTTTCTCTAATTCTTCCAAACCTTTATAGATATTAAATTTCAATGTGATTATTAAAGAACTGATTGTATTAGTTTTTTAATAATGTTACTATTAACATGAAAAATTAAAATTTTTTAGTATTATAATTAGCGTTTCGGGCGAAATCCATTTTCAAAATCCGAAAGGCGAAACCGAAACTCTCTCAAAGGCGAAATAAATCCGAAATTTCCGAAACTTCCGAAATTTCCGAAATTGGCGAAATTGGCAAAATGTCCGAAACCTGGCGAAACCGAAACTTGGCGAAATTTCCGAAATCTAAAATTAGAAATTTGGGGGTTTTTTTTTGAAAAAAAAAATAGTGAAGTCTCGGCAAAAGCTCTATGGTGTGAAAAGATCCAGAATACCACCAAAAATAATCGGTGACACATTTCAACCAGTGAAAAATATCTGAGAATAAATGTTTTTGAGAACATTGAGAACATTAGATATTAAACACTGATTTCAACCAATAGAATTTTGCTCATGTATTAGCAAAATTCAAAATTTTTAACCAATAGAAATATCTTGGCCAAATTTGATTCGTCAACTTTATCAAAAATGCGCGGCACTTGGCCTGCATTAATGTAATTTTATAATTTTGGCCGGAAATGATTTTTTAATTTTTAAGGAAATTTTTTAGAAAATAGACCGGGTCCATGGTAGAATTATGTCAGGATTATTTTTAATTAATGGGTGGCCGGGGTTTCATTAACGTTAAATGTTTTTTTGTAAATTATGTTAGCCAATCACAATCGAGGATCTGCGATTCCTTAGATAAAATATCAAATAGAAGCTGCGCCAAATTTTTTTAAAAATTTTGAGCGGAGATATCTCGGCAACTACCTGACCAAATTCTATACTTCTTTTTTTTATTTGAATTCAAGAACCTTTAGTCGAATTATCTTAAAGTTTCAAAAAAAATTTTGGCGCAGCTTTTATGTTTTTGATAGACGTTTTTAAGTTTTTTAAAAACTTTAAACAAAATAAAAAAATTTGATCAAGTAGTTATCGAGATAACTTTAGTTCTAATGTTCTTAAAATTTAAAAAAAAAAATTTTCATCGAATTTAGTCAAGTAGGTATTGAGATATCTTCGTTCAAATTTTAAAAAAATTTGCATAGTATTTTGAGATTTAAATTTTTTTAAAACTTTGTGCAAAGATATCTCGACAACTATCTGGCCAAATTTGGTGAATTTTTTTAATTAGAATTTAACGTTAATGAATTTGTGAAATTTGCCCAAGTAGTTGTCAAGCAAGGTTTTAAAAATTATACATGCGCAAAATTCTATTGGTTGAATGTTGTATCATAAGCCACCTCAAAAATATATTGCAACACTAGGTTTAGGTTAGGTTTAGGTTAAGCTAAACATCACAAGAGTATGACATATAACATCTCTGTGATGTTTAATCTAACCTAAACCTAATCTAAACCTAATATAAATCTAGTTTAAACCTAAATATATTATAATATATTTAGATTTAAACTAGGTTTAGATTAGGTTTAGGTTAGATTTAGGTTAGGTTAAACATCACAAAGATATTATATGTTATACTCCTATAATGTTTAGTTTAACCTAAATCTAACCTAAATTTAGTATTGCAATATATTTTTGAAGTAGTTTATCTAATTGATATTGATGTAACATTATTTACAGAGTTGTAACCTCTAGAAACAGATTGAGTTTACTATAAGTTAAGTACAAAGGTCTGAATAATTATTCAAATTTATCGATAGTAGGATTTGAATTCCAGACCTTTTGTATGATAGTCTAGTAACCTAACTATTACACTAAAATCATCAGATCTTTTTTTTAATTTTTTTATAGAAAATTTCTAAATTTAAATATATATTTGTATATAGATATAAATAAAAAAAATTTTTTTTATTAAAAAAAAGTAATCTTTTTTAACTTTAGAGTTAAAGTAAGACTTAGAATTTTGGCAAAATTATAGTTATATGCAAAATTTAGTAAAGAATTTTTTTTATTAATACTCTAAAGATAGTTTCATAAACTAAGTTTGAGATATTAGTATTTTTTTAAAAAATTCTTTGTTTTTTGTTATACAAAAAAAGATTTACATATTATATCTGATTTTAAATTTTGATTAGCTTTTCTAATAAGATCATATAACATAATATACAAATAGTAATTCTCTTTTTTTTTTTTGTTATTAAGGTCACTTCCTTAGCTGATTAGATTTTATTAGTTTGTTATTATGAAACTATCATATGAATAGTTTCTTAAGGTTTTATAGTTACATGATAAATGTATAACAAGCTATATGTACAACTTTAGTTATTGTCTAATTTAAGTAGTCTGCTATACAGACAATCGACCATCTGTTGGTTCTATACTATGCTACTATATCTGCAACCTGCCTGTGAGTTACCTATTTAAATACTCTGATCATTAACTCTTCCCTCATTCCAAACTAATGTTACTATTATAGCCAACTGCTTAAGCTAGCCGCTTACCCACAGATCCATTTACTGCATGACTTAGATCCTCTCAGGATGCATATTTGCCCAACATATTGTAAACACACAAAGCTCCAGTTAACCTCAGAAGTAATTCCTACTAGAGTAGTCATGTGCTCATTTCACAGATTTACTTGGATTAGACCTTTGTTGATGTTCATACAAACTTAGTTCCTGCTATAGCCATTCATCAGATATAGTCTTCCAAGTTCTAGCTAGATGTTTTATGAGGTAGATCCTCCCAATCTAGTTAGCCATTAAGCCAAGTTAGTGTTGTTACTAATGCAAGGCACCAGGTTGCATTACATAGCAGATTTACTCACACTTATTGATCTCATATTCTTCATACTTAGGTTTTTTACTGGATCAGATGTTAACTAGCTTGACTGTTAAAATTTGTACTACTTTACCAAACTTGAGATTTCTACTACATAGGTCCTCTGCTCATAGATTCTATTAAGATTTATTCATATAACGTAACTCAAATATTATATTACACTTCTAATATCTAATTGACATTAGTACAACATAATTTACAGAGTTGTAATCTCCAGAAATGAGTAGAGTTTACTATAAGTTGAGTATAAAGGTTTAAGTAATTATTCAAATTCATCAATAGTAGAATTTGAACCCCAGACCTCTTACATGACAGTCTGACAACTTAACCACTATACTAAGATCACCAGACCTGCAATTCTTTTTTTTATATTATATATAATTTATTATTTAATTAATAAATTATATAATTAAAGATCTG